GCTATTTACAACTAATGCAAATGTATCGATGCATAATATAACCATAAAACAATTTGCATTAAGCTGATCCTCAGCCTTGGATTGCCTGACTATATATCATTCTTCAAAGCCACATGAGAATGCAGATCAAAAGTCCCCACAAGGTTTCACTGTTTTCTGGGATCACAAGATGGATCACATTTTTCTCTCTCCATTTCCTCAGTCTTTACGCTCTCGTCCCCTAGTGCATACACCCAGGATGTTTCATATCCTATACTCTAGGGCTTCCTGAGTGGCATGTTAAATTGTTCACACTTAGAACACTTCCCAATCCTTAGATTAAAATGAGCTGTGATTCTAAAGTAAGTGGCAGCATTAGGGTCCAATATGGACCCCGTATTTTCCTGGACCAAATCTGTTTTAGCCACAACATGACTGACCGAATGAAGCTCTGACTTATTTTGTGCTGCACTATTTTCTAGCCACTAGCAGCCAGTCACACAGTGGACTTCAGTGATCCATTCAAAACAACCCTCACCAAGGCAATAACAGCCTAACACTATACCTACAGAAGTTGAGAAGTTTCTATCACATCATGCTGCTACCTCTTGAGTTAAATACTCACACAGGCTTAGGGTGCTTTGTTCTCTTTAATCCTGAAAGGATCATCGTGTTCCTCTCTAAAACTCACACATAGGAAAGAACACACAGATATGTAACTCCTTCCAAAGTGTCTCTCTCCTCTTCCCCCCACTTAGGTAAGGATAAATCTCAGGTTGACAGTATTCACTTCTGAACAACCCTACACTCATAGTCTGTAATACAGAATAGAAAATATAAGAACCATAAAACCCTGATCACCATCACGGTGGCCAGGGAGAAGTGGGGAGAAAGTCAGAAAAATATGCAAAGCCTTGACAGGCTGGATGTGTGCAGGACGCCAGGAGAGGGGGCAGGGTTTCTCATGAGGTTCTAGGCAAGCCCTTTGATGACGTCACCTCACATACATAATGTTACAGCAGTCAGCACAGGCCTCCTGCTCTCCTATTGGAGAACACCATGTCAGCCGACATCAGAAGATAATCATCATTGGCCAGACAATTACAACTGGAGCAACTAGCATCCACTGTTGTTAGCAGGAACCTGGCAGGCTGCTGAAAGAGGAGCAGGCAGAGCCCAGCTTTCCTGCTCACTCCATGAATTTCTGTAGCCTTACCAGTCACTAGGTGATTTTGCTCCCTGGCTAGCAGCACTTATAAATGAAGTCAGCTATTACAGAGAATAACAGGTAAAGGCCAGACATCTCATAAAAGAACAGCATGTCTCTATTTTCACTGTTGGGAAACCACAAGGGCTGTTCAGTGTAAAATTGGAACTCCAAAATGCTATTTGGAATGAAAAGCAAGTATTTTCCTCTACCTCATGAAGTAAACTTTCGATTACCAGCTGATATAACTCAAGATATTTTTTAACTATATGTGCACCACCAAGACATGGCTGAAGATGATTCTCCAAGGAAATATACATTGATTACTTCACATTTCAATTGCTATTATAATCTATTATTGATCAAACTATTTGCTAGAAAAGGAAAGAAAATAAAAACCCTACAGTATTTATTTCCTGCCTCCACCAAACAGTATCAGGTTAATCATTCATTAAAAAAGCAAGAAACTTGAGGAACTTGTCTCAGTGGAACGCTCTAGTGTTTAGACACACCCCACTCCAAAACTGGAGCCCCATTCCATGTGGATGTGCTGAGCTCCCAAGCACGGGTTAAACATCACCCTTAACAAACTCTCCCTATGTTACATCCCAGTCCCCTAACATGATATGATGCCGGTTAGCGCAGACCCTGGTGCTGGCGCATCATGACCCCCAGTCCTCCTCACAGTTCCTCAAAAGCCAAAGGTAGCTTTTTTGTTCACGGTCTTGATAGCCAATAATTGGACATGGTTACGGTGTGCAGGGTGATCACTCCATGTAGGTGTAACATGTAATGGCCAACATAATAACAGGGTAGCTCATCTTGGAGAACTGCATCATAACTTCGTAAATTAGCAAGTTTTTGTGGGAGGCCATGACTCGGTGATTTTTAAGGATGACCCAAGTGAATTCTCAAAAGCCACAGCAGACGCTTCCCTCCATCCAGCCCGGTTTTTCTTCCAAATCTATTTCAAACCGTTTTAAGTGAATGAGTCTGGCAAAGGCAAAGACTTCGTGGTTTCCTCAAGTTCTCCCTCTTCAAGAGGACCCAGCACTGGTTTTTGAAGTTCCCTTTTCTTCTTCAGAGGTGAAAGAAAAGTCATTTTCTTATCTACCCAAATCATGACCTTTTTGGCCATTGGTTGGGGTGGGGGGGGGAGGGAGTCACACGCTGAGCCCCCTGGATGCCAGGAGAAAGGCACTGGGGTAAAAAGAAAGTAAGATAATGATGATGGGGAACAGGTGCAAAGCTAGCAGGGTTCTTCTGACTGTCCATGCAGTTCGAGAACATAAAGTCATATTGGCAGGAAGGGAAAAATCCTAAAATGTGACTGTAGCAAGCTTTTCAAACCACAGGTGGGAGCCAAGCATGCAAAGCCTCGGCATTAACAGGTAGGCAATGTATGTCAGCCATAAAAACAACACCAACAAGCTTCTCCAACCCCCACCCCACGCCCAGCTTCTGCCAGTACAAAGCACTTGGCTAGGAAATAAGGCAAGAATCTTGCTTGAAGAGCCGGTCTGGTAGAAGGGGCAGCCATAACGCAAATATCCAGAGACAAGACTAAAAGCCAGGCAAAGAGCACACCAGTAGCCAGGTACATTAAAGAGCCAGTAGCAAATGTTGGTGAGAACCTCAAGGGTGAACAGAAGTTGGTACATTCTCAATCCCAGGAAAGCTAAGATCTCTCTGGCTCAGTGAGTGCTTAAGTGAGTGGAGAGAAGAGGCAGGAAATGGTACCTGGGACAGATGTAGGAAGTGGCCTCAGGAAAAAAAAGAAAAAAAGCCAGCAGGTACAGGCAAATAGGAGGCAGTATCGACAGCGGCGTGCAAAGAAAGGCAGACAGGCAGGGAACCCGGCCAGCACACAGGGCCAGGGCAAGGGACTCGGTGGACGCAGGTTGCACCGGGGATGCAGCAAGTGAGAAGGCCAGCTGACGCTGGAAAATGCAGAACACTTGGGGCCAGCACCGAGGGAGACCCGCTAGGCGCCCAAGAAGACCGAAGAAACAGCTGCAAAGAAGACCCCGGCCTGGCGCGCCAGCTGCGTGGCCGCCGGCGCCCGCCAGCTCCGGTCACCGCCCCTGCCCGCCTCCAGCGCCACCCCCTACGCGGGAGGAGGAAGTGCATGTGGATTAGGACCCCTGGGCGCCGGGGCTGACGCCTCCCCGGGTTCAATCTCTACCCGATCGCGGTGTACAACCACCTTCCGGACCCGCCCCTGGACGCTCAGCCCCGGCTGCACGGAAGGCACCAGCCCCACGCCCCATGTGCTCGCGGCACCTCCTGCCCTTCCGGGCTGCTCGCGGGCCCCGAGCCCCACCAGTCACGCCGCAGCTGCCCAGTGCAAGCGGCGCCCCCAGCGCCGGGCCTGTAGGGCAAGGGCCCGGCCGGAGCGCGCGGCCCAGAGCGCAGGCTCCGCCCGGCTGCGGCCGGGAAAGCGCAGGCGGGCGGGTAGCAAGGAAGCATCAGCCGGTGCTCCCCGGTCGGCGGGCGGTCTGGAGCAGTCGAGAGCCGTAGCCGCGCCTTCCGAGCAGGGTGGGTGACCCCAAGGCGGGGGTTAGAAAAAGTCGGACTCCTTCTTAGCCAGGTTCTCCTCCCAGCACTCCCTCCACCTCGCCGTGCGCGCGGGGTCTCCGGCTGCCCACTGATGCGAGCAGGGGGAAGGCCTGGCAGGTCGTGAGAGCGCACGCGGCGGCTAGACTCCCCGGGAGCCCGGGAGCCCCGTGGGCTCGACCTTCATCGCTCCGGCCCCGGGAAGGCGGCCTCGCATGCCGGGCGTCCTGGGCTTCCACTTCCTCGATCCCCAGACCTAGCTGAGGGTAGGAGAGGAGGGGATCTGTCTACGAGACAGAAGCGAGGACGAGCACACCCTCCTCCGTTAAATATTGCAAGGTGACACAGGATCGCCTCCCAGCCTCCCACACGGGGATTTTCAAAAGGAAGGGCGGAGGGAGCGCAGTAAACAAGAAAGATGATTCCCCATTGGAAGTTTTTCCCGGGAAGCCCTCCACTCCCCTTTTCCTCTCCCCCTCCCCAGGACTGCAAACCGAGGGCCTTTTAGTCAGTGAGCATGGACTCCAGTCAGCAGCTTTGAACTGAAAGTGAGTTGTATCCAAAAGGCGTTTCCGTCAAATAGAAACTTCATCATGGCGTGGCTGCACACTCGCTCGGGTTCATTCATTTTTATTACAGTTTTCATTGTCCCCTCCCCCGTCTCTATGAAACCGGAAGGGGGTCCTGTAAAAGGAGGCATCCGGCCGGGGAACGCCGAAGGAGGAGGGCAGGGAAGTAGGAGAGCTGCAAGGAGAAAGGAAGGACACGAGGGATGGGAAGAGGGCGCGGACCCGAGCCGAGCGCGGCGGACGGGAGAGGGTTAAAGCGAGCCGGCAACCGGGTCCCACCTCCCCAGTCTTTCACACACAGCCGCTGCAGGCCGAGCAAAAAAAGAAAAAAAAAAAAAAAAAGAAAGAAAAAGAGAGAGCGCGGGCGCGCGCGCGAGAGAACAACCCCGAGGGAAACCGGGAGGACAGCTCAGGTAGGGGACTAGACTGTGGCATCCCTCACGCCTGCCCGGCCGCGCAGACACCACCCTAGGCACACATACATGTTCTGAGTTATATAATCCACAGCAGAGCTCTCTGTGGAGGCCGGCAGCTCCTGCGCGCCGAGCCCCGCCGAGCACTGGGCAGGCAGCTCGCCGCGCCCGCGTTCCCCGCCGGCTTGGCGCGCGGGCAGGAGAGACCGACCCGAACACGCTCCGGGAAAGCCGCGGGGCTCCCGGACGCCGGGTCACGCGAAAGCATCACCTTACCAGTTTTCCTGCATCCACTGGATGGCCTCATTCTCGTTGAACTGCTTTTCGAATTCATATTCTTGTAAAGTCAACACTGACATGTTCATTGGGGCTGATCTCTTCGGAGTCGCTACGTGCTCTCTACACAAAATAAAATAATCTGTAAAGCGCTAGACTGCGAGGGCTCGCTCCTGCCTGCTCCCCCCCACCCCACCCCCCCGGGTCTGCCCTCGCCGCAGGGTCTCCGGCGCTCGCCTCTCAGCTACATCCAGGGTGGAGCATTGCCTGTGCCTGGGCGCCCAGCTCCTCGCCGTGGGGCTCGCCTCCTCCCGGCGTCCGCATCCACCGTAGGAGGAAATGAATGCCTTGCGGTCTTAGTGCCCGCACGTTTGTCCATCACCCTTTTTTACTCGTCTACAGGGAAATCTCCTCCCCCTCGTGCGATCGGGAAAATTAACCCTTTGCGAGGGAGGGCGCAAAGGAGCGAGACCTCTCCCCGCCCCCGGCGTAGTTTTATCCAGACGAAGGTGGGGTTGGAGGGCTGGGGGCAGGGCATAGAGAGGGAGGAAGTGGCCTAGGGGTCACCAACGTTTTCCCTCTACCTCAAAACACACACACAAACACACACACACGGGCCCCCAAACCCGGCAGGCTTCCCAGCCCTGCCTTTGAATGAAGCTTCAGCGTGTGGGGCGCAGCCCCGCGGCGCGTGGACCTTAAGAGCTTGTAGAGTAAACAACTGGGAAATAGTAAAACCTGCCAGCGCTCTCTCGCCAAACAACTCCAGGTAAACCTGCAAGGAGCTCACACGTGAAACGGACGCTCTGGACCTTCTCGCCCTGGAGAGACCTTCCGGCGTCTCCCCAGTCTCCACCCCCGAGCTCACCGGCCCTGACTCACTTTTGCCAGGGGCCCAGCGGCCCACAGAGCTTCTTAATCACGTGTTGGCAGGGGAGGATGAGGATGCAGACGAGGAAGGTGGAAGACGACAGCGGAGGCCAGTGGCCGGAAGTGGAAGAAAGGACCGGGAGAGTGGTTAGGTAGAGGGCTTGGGTACCGCGAGAGGGATAATTAATGAACAGAGACAAAAGAGGAGAGGAAGTTAGAGAACTGGACCAACTGGTCCAAATGCAAAGGCTTTATTTGTATGCATGAATAATTTTGCTTTATTTATGGTACTTGTAGTTAAATGTGATGTTCAATGTGATGTTGCCCTGCTACAAGCCAAGGAAATTTTCTACTCCATGTATCCCTTCACATATTTCCTGCAGACGATGGGGAGATGAGGCAAAGAGGTATCTGATAATCTAATACAAAAATTCAACTGTGAACTTAAAAAAACAATGTCAGCAACTTATACGTTTACCGTCAAAAGGACATTTAGGACCCAGAAGCAAATTTCCTTTCTCAGATGCAAATCTCCCTACCTCCCCAGGAGTCTAAAGAAAAGGCATTTTCATTTATAGGTAAATATATCTATATCCTCAAACCTGAGGGATACAACTCTGTAAAGGGAGAAAGTATAGTTAGAAACTAATGAAAAAGTATAATTGTATGCAAATCAAAGGGATGATTAGCAAATAAAAAAATAAGTTGATACTCCCAAAGGCTGCAGATTGGGAGGTTCTTACTTTTCCATTTAAGGAGTGTCATGCTAAAGACCTTTGCAGTGCAGGTCTGAGTAAGTTTAAAGCTAAGGCCCAGGTCAAAAACACTTGACAGTGTTAGGATGGAAAGTGGGTGTGGTCAGCCAAGAAATATTTTATAACACAGTTCCCGGGCCTGTGAGTAATCGATAAATATTTGTAAGATGATGAGTAATTGATCAAGTGTATGAAACTGCAAAGTGGGGAGGCACTGAAAGAATCCTAGAAAGACCTCATTTAGGTCTTACTATTGCTCAAAAATAAGTTAATTTAAAAATTCATGACTTTTATTTACAATGGCATGGAATTAAAAGGTATGAGGAATTCATGTTTGTTTACTCTGTTATTCAAAACATGCCTGTTACTGCCTGATTATTTTCTGAACACGGATGTAGGGTTATATTGAAAGCAATTATCTGATTGGCTCCTGACCATATCTGAAGAAAACTTACTCCAAAATAGAAGATGTATCCCTATTTCTTGACCTTTAAGGCTGACAATTACATTAAAAAAAAATGATGAGCATTTGATAGTTCTACCTGCTGGTGATGCTATTCAGAACAGGCAATGCCAGCAGACAGTGAAAACTGGTGCCTCCAGAAAGCCAACCGGGGAGGCTCTAGGATAATTCTAAGTTGATAATACTGAGTCATGGAATCTTCTCTGCAGATGCACTCATCTGAGACCAGGAGACCCCAGGAGAACTAGAGCCACAAGCCTCTTGCTCCCTGTGAACCAACGGATAGAAGATCTCTTTCTTTGAAATAAATATGTAAGTTTTTTTTTAAACAGATAATTTCTTGAAGAGAGAAATTATAGGATCCAAATTAGGCAACATGCCATAAAGAGCTGGTAATCTCATTTCAATCCGGAAGGCCCCACTGAGGCCGTGATGGGGAGTGGATAAGCGGTTGACAAATAACCAACTATCTTCTACAGAGGGGTGCAAAGAACAGCAAACGCCCTGGGCTAAAGAATCAGCTCCCACAGACACTGTGCCTTAGCACCAGCATTCCCAGTAAATCTTGCTAATGAACCTGGGAAAGCAGCAGCAGAATATGGTCCAAGTGCTTGAGCACTTGCACTCAATTTGGGAGACCTGGAAGAAGCTCCTGGCTTCAGACTGGCCATGCTCCAGCCTTTTCAACCATTTGAAGTAAACCAGTGAAGTGCATGGAAGATCTCTGTGTCTCTCTCCCTCTCTCCCCACCCCCTTCTCTCCGTAACCCTGCCTCTCAAATAAATAAATAAATCTAAGGAAAAAAAAAAGTTTTGTAGGCTTTAGGGGAAAAGGCTGGTGGTTAAACTAAGAAGCAACATGTTAATTTCCAGCAATTTCACAACTTGGAGTTTATGGATAGATGCTCAAAAACATTATGGTTGCTGGTGTAGGATACAGAACTCTTTGTAGCAACAAAAAACTGGAAACAAACAATGAAATAATTTCCTGTTGAAATGTTGCGGATCACAGTAACAAAGGAGCTTTCTGGTGCATATTAAGGAAAATGAAAAGGCACAAAACATGTATAGTAATATATGTATATATTTATGTGTAATGGATATGTTATATATAATGTTTTTAAAATACAGATAAAGATTTGTGGATAGATATGAAATAGATATGAGAAATATTTTAAAAGATCATGGAAGCATTAAAAAAAAACTATACCTGGATTTCAATTTGCCCCAAAATAAACTCATAGCAATTTGTTACAGTTTGCCTGAGCAGAATCCAGTTAGAAGCACTGAGCTGCATATAACATCAGTTTGAACAGAGTTCTTACCAGAATACCAGGAATTCTGCTAACCTTGAAACAAGAACAGATATATAATTCACGAGGAAGTTCTGGTAGAAGAATTGTGAAGTCATTAACACTATATAAAGGAAATCAGATGCTTATAAATGGAGAACTCACTTTAAGAAGGGATGAGTATGAGCATTTGACCTGGTGATGAAGACTTATAGGTTAGGGTAGATTCAAAACCTGGCTGGGACTGCTGGCCCCAGCTTCATGTGAATGCAGACTTTCACTGGCAGTAAGTGGTGGCAAAAGTAGTTGGGTCCCTGTTACTCTTGTGGGAGAACTAAGCTGAGTGTTTAATCCCTGGGCTCTGGCCCCTGACCCAGGCCATTGCTGGAATTTAAAGAGTTAACCAGATTGGAAGCTTGCTTACCTTCCTTGCTTCCTTCCCTCCCTCCCTCCCTCCCTCCCTCCTTTCTTCCTTTTTTTTTTTTTTTTAATTAGGAAGCCAGATTTACATAGAGAAAGACCTTCCCTTCAGTGGCTCACACCCTCAATGCCGCAATAGCTCTAGCTGAGCCAATCCAAAGCCAGAAGCCAGGAACCTCTTTTGGATATTCCTACATGAGTGCAGGCTCCCATGGAATGGCTCTGTCTCCCAGGCCATGAGCATAGAGCTGGATCAGGGTGGAATAGCTGGAACACACACTGGCGTTCTATTGGGGATGCTGGAGCTTGCAGGTGGAGAATTAGCCTGTGGGGTCACAGCACCAGACCCGTATGGGAGCTTTCTATCTCTTCAATAAATAAAACTGATTTCAGATTACCAAAATAGGCAATGCTTAAGATGGAAACTGCAACAACCAACTGTTCATACCAGTTTGTGAAAAAAAAAAAAAATGTCATCTTGTTCATGCTCTAATGGTTAAAGACCAAGAGTTTGTAGTAGAAAGTATAGCTCAGACTAGACATCCCAATTGGTTCAACTCACCCAATTCTACTAACAACTTCAAGTGAGAAAAACACTTTCTGCTCAAATGGTGCCAAAACTGCTGTGGCTGCTTTGGCTACAGATAAGAGCCGAGCTTTGAATGGAAAATCATAACAACTGGGATCCAGATTCTGAAGCATGTCTTTGAAGCATTGTGATAGGAGATGAAACAAGTCTTAATCAATGCCCTCCTGAAGGCAGAGTAAGATCCAGGCGAAGGCTACACGGAAGTGGAAGTGACTCAAAGCCAAAGCAGGCTGATCAAGAGTCAAGGTCAGGGCAATATTGGGGTGAGAGTGAAGGTGCAAGATGCTCAAACATTTTGCCTGTTGACTTTGTAGAGAGCCAAAGAACAGTAATATCGCATATCATGGGAACATTTTGAGAAAGTTGGTCAAAACTTAGCAAACTTCCCTGCAAAATCTTCCAGGGAGACTTTTTCCACCATGACCACATTCCTGGTCCTTCCTAGACAAGGGTGATTTTGTGAGAGTTTTCTATGGGGAATCATGAGACATTTCCCTTCCAGGTTTGAACTGGCTCCTTTGACTTTGTTGTTAGGTAATCTTAAAGCAGCTGTAAAGGGCACTCATTTTGCCTCTGTTGATAGCATGAAAAGGAGTCAATGAAGGGTTAAGTTGCCTGTGCCTCCAGTTCTTCAGGGATGGACTCAATGGCTGCTCTCATTACAAAGAAGTCTTGAGTCCTAAAGAAGCTGATGCTGGTAAATAGAGTTGTTTTAATTTCACAAACTTTGAAGTTCCCTAGTCTAAGGGAGAAGGGAGCAAAAGGAGTTAAAAGGTAATGCACATTTTTGCACAAATTGTTGAAGCTGCCTCTTATATGGGGAAAGATCTGGGAACAAACTGGGGAAAGCAAAGTTTACACTTGACTTTTCTGTAATTAATTTGAACTTTCTCTCCATGTACTTGTATTTCATTCAAAATGAAATTATCTTAGCAGTGAGGTAAGGAGTCACATTTCTATTGCAAATTTTCCCATATTGAAAAGCTTTATAA